TGTGTAACCTCTTCCCGCTCGACAGCTGGATGAGGAGGGAACAAGGAAGATGGTCGTGTCAAACCACCTTTTAGCAGGGGGAGGGGTGTGCGGGGGAGGTCGTAGAGACTCGATCGAAATCCCCAACTAATGATGTGCCCTGTTCAATCTCACTCGAGCAAAAGTAGCCTATTCCTGCGGCCGGTAAATTGGTGCCAGCGTCGTCGTCAAGTAAAAACAGTCACGGGACTCCTCCCTGCCGATATCGGCTAACCGGCTCCCTATATTAAAGGAAAGCTGCAAGGCCATGGCGTGGCAGTAATCCACGAAGCAAAGAGGATAAATCAGTTTAGGTGGCGTAAGGGATAGCGCGCTCGCGCACCCGCAATGAAAGGGTAGGGCGCGAGTTTAATTCCGCCTGAAGTCATGTTTTGTGTCCAACCCTCAGTGCGCGAAGTGCTGCGTTGAACAACGATTGTTATTATAATTCGAATTATCTCGACCGTGAATTGTTAATGAATAACTTTTTTTAACTTTTTTCTCTTGGTACGACTGAGTGAGGCTTTCCACCATGGATGCGTTATTATTCTGTTGCATTCTTATTTCAGGCAGATGAAGGAATCGAAAATGTCAGACGAAAGCGAGAACCTTCACTTTCCGACAGTTTTGAAGTGCCAAAAAAGCCGTTGAAACCGGTAAGTTATATGTGACTGTACGATTGAATCTCTTTATTATGACATCGCTTTATTTCATCCGTGTCGGCATTATCCATCTTCTTTTTTCGACTAGTTCCTGGCAACAGGTAACATTCGCATCAGGACCCAATCCAGTTAAGGCAGCAGTGGGCAGGTTTGGCGACGGGGGGACATTCACTCTTTCGCTACTTCCCAGACGTGTCGACTAATCTAGAGAGCCTTTTATTGAGATGACAGTCTACCATGGTGAATCGATGAGCCTGCTTCAGCTTCGCAGCAGTTCACAGGTTTCACCAGGTGAGGTTTGTGAATCAGACCCCCCCCCCCCTTGCTCCCCAGTCGTCGAACTGCGGCAGCTAGTAGTGCTGCAGGGAGCTTACTCTCCAACTATCTCTGCGTCTAGCCGGCTAGCTCTCTATATATGGGGCCGTCTAGTTACCTGGCTAGGGAATATTCTGTTAGCGATACCGCGACTCGGGTGTAACGCTCCACCTCGAGAGTTGGGAAAGAGAAATTGTGTTTGTTTGTTTGTTTCTTGAGTGACGCTTGGAAAAAACATCAGCTGGTATGGTGATAAGGCTAGGAAAGCCGACCGTTAATGAAGTGGGAATCCGAATGGAATGGTGTCACTCTGCGGAGTAGGTGGGGCCGTGCTGATACCCTTCTACTGCTATAAAGTAAACCTAATTAGTATCTCATTAGTCAGCCTGTTACGCTGGCTGGATTTTGGATTGGGCACATGTACAGGATGCGCAGCATATGCTGAAAAAATCGACCGCATCGAGTATCAGAGACCGAAGTAGGCAATGTTAATCCGTAAATTTTTCCTGGAAAATTTTATATTTGGAAATGAGTTTTGTTCGCCTTAGAGCCGAAGTAGTTTGAGCCTTCAGGTTGTTCAGTTTCACAGCTTGTCGTGCAACTTAACAAATGTGTTATTTAGTATTCTCGACGGTGGATGCGATTAGTGACAGGAGGAACCCGCAGTCAACGAGATATGACCGCGGCTGCCCATGCTTTTATCGCCCGTTTACCTCGATCCAAGGATAGCTGGTGACATGGTAGCTTCATCTTGCAGAAATAGCTGGGTACAAACTCGGGACTTTACATCTCGAATCTGGCGCGACATAGACGTTACATATCATATTTCATTGTCTAGTCATTTGGTCGCACATATTTCCTATTCACATTGAATCATATAGAAAAAATAGCTTGGATGATATGCTTTTAAGTCTTTATATTTCGACTAATTTTTTCATAGCGCAATTTTTTTTTGCTACGCGTTCTCATAGTCTTCATCTCGAAAATGAACTAGCATTCCAAACTTATCATTACTTGACTTTAGATTTTGATCTGATCACGCTTAATCATTGTATGAAATAGTTTTTTTTGTACACTAACGTTAACCTCATTTGAATATCCGGTTGGAGTTTATGGCAACTGTGACAATACATTTACTCTGGAATGCTCACTTATCAACCAGGCTTATCACTCTTACGTGCTTAATACGATCGATATTAAATCTTGAATTGTATTTTGCGGTGTATGGTTATTCGAATCGCTTCTGATATCCTGGGAGATTCCGTGCATTAGGGTGAAATGTGAGAATCCGGTGCTCAGAAACCCAGGGAATGGTGTTCTATTGAAAAACGGGGTGGGTGTGGCACGGTCTACGGACGACTTGAACTCAATCCCTTTAACGCGTCGATCTTCTCTTTTTCTCTGCACTCTCTCGTCCGCATGGCACTCTATGGCCGTTGTGACTTCGCTCACTCCAGCTTTTCACCGACTATAAGTAGCTCACCCACCCCGGAGTCCCCTCCCCCCTTAAAATCCCGTTTCCTGGCTCGCCATACGTTTTTTGCACGTTTCGATGCTTTGGCAGCCGCTGCCCTCTATCCGTCTGCGTCACAGGGTTTCGTAACAGGACCATGCACAAAAGTTCAAGATGTCACGTAACCGGTGTGGCACGTTATCTCCGGGTTAGCAAGCACGGCGGAGAAGACGTAGGTTTCAGGTAGCGTCGCGCGCGCGACATTCGCACCAAGACAATTCTTTCAACATGGCACTTTGGCAATACACTGCGAATCGCCACAGCGACCAATGGCGTCCCGCACCGATGTGGGGGTCTTATAGCCGGTTTTTACCTTTAGCTAGTCCCAAAGGGTCGATCCGTGGCGACAGTTGTTTGCGTCAAATTTGTTACTTCACTGGGAAACTGTTTAGAGGAAAACCCGCGCGCTTGTTTGACACGCAGACGCTTTCTTTAGACATGAAGTTCTGTCCGCAAGCCTGAGGGATGTACTAGTTTCGCAGCCAAAAAAAATGCGTGGCGAAAGCTTGAACCGCCCGCAAGGTCACGGCTCCGCTTTTCTGACCATCGCAACGTCCAACTTTTTGAAGGTTCCCTAACAGTGCGGAGTTCGAATGTTGAGAGTGAGTGATAAAGAGAAAGAGCTGCCACCAACAATTGAAAACTCGTCCGACCACGCCCTTTCTTCGCCCTATGCACGTAGAAGCGGTTCGGCATAGGGTTTTATGTGGGGGTATTTCGAGAGAGTTTTTAGGTTTTTTTCTTGATGTACAACTCACAATTTTCTAACCAGGGGCGTGACTGTAACGCATCGGGCTACGTTCAAGAGAGCCTAGGTTGCTCTCACATCAGGGAACATGAGAAGGAGATGGGATGAATGGCACAGATTCCGCGCCTCCCGTGATAAGTAACTGTGCCAGAGTGGGTGGTACCTGTCCTTGATTTTGTTTGAGAAAGTTTGATCAAACATAGTTATCCGTTAGACAGAATAGGCTCGTGAAATATTTCAGTTTGGGAGACACGGCCACCTCAAACTGGAAATACTCTCCAAATCCACAGCCGAGGCCACGTTCAGTGGAAGCAAGCAGCCACGCCTACCACACATCAGGGATTCCGAGTGTAACAGGACGGTCACGAGTGGGTCCAACCAATGCAACGGAAGAGGAATTTGAAAGTCACCTCTAATTATCTTTTTTGCTAGAGATGATCCCATTGACCTTCAACGTTTCCGTCATGGGACTCACTCAGCAATTAAGTCACGGCGTTGCCGTCGATTAGTTTCGGCCACTCTCGGCTTTCGAACAGTCGACAGGTTTTGAAATCATAGGTTTCATTGGGACCGATGTGAACTGTCTCTTCGAATGAGGATTTGAGAGCCTCCCTGAGTTCACTGTGATAGCTGCACAACTGTGGCCGTCCCTCCGCTAACACAGTATCCTCCCACCATCACATGAATTAAGTGAAACTCATCTCAGATTAGAGCACTGTAGAAGTGCCTTTCGAGTAGATGGTGAGCTCTTTGATGACAAGACGGATCTTGGAGGGAATTACGGAGGTGGTGTAGTATCAAGCGGCCCGCTTACGACACACTCGGTCCGGGATCAAATTTCGGACTAGCTCCCGTCGGAGGTAACCAGCCTTCCTTGCTCTAGGGGCGGCTAATCAGTACAATGTTCGTTTGGGTCAGAAAACGCTGACCATCGGCTGATCTGTGCAAGTCATCGATCAGCATATCACATATAAAATGTCCACTACGATACTGATAGGAAGAACAATACATGGCGCATCGGAGGCACAGATCAGCCCCTGCATTACCTTTTTGTCCTTTTAGGGTTCTGCTGTACCGCTGTGCCAAAATAGTAGAGTTGGCTGCATGGGAACTGTTTAGTTGTATTCGAAAATGCATTCTGAGGAGAACATCGCTGCTAATTAGTTAAAAGCAGTTGGCACGACAAATCCCCCAAGACGAGTAGGATTAATACGCCTGGCAGGACGGAATTCCGCGACCCTGAGCAGGCGCTGCATAATGCCTTTTCCAAGGAAGGTGCCCTTATAAGGGCCCTATCAAGCCACAACATTCCGACCCAAACGCCCGCCACGCCCGCCCGCCCACAAATGGACGACCGTTCCTGACGCTCGAATTGATTCATTTGCTAAGCAAATTATGAAGCGAAGGGATTGGTATGAAGCGGCCGTGATGCTGCATGGATATATGAGTACACATATGCAGCCGTACCTTCGGTAGCGGTTATTGGCAAGATGCCTACGGGAAACTCGTCCAAAATTGATTACTAACACAGTGAGAACGCTCTTTTTTCGCAGGATTTTGACCGTTTCACTCCGTTCTTTCGCCATTTCCCCACTATATAGCGCCCTACTAGCATTTTAGGCCGAGCACCAAATCATCGTGCCAACTGCCTTTAAATGGTACTATAAGAATGACGTGAGCAAATACAGTAACACTGTGCAGCGCGTAGAATACATAACTACAGGAAGTTGGCAAGTCACAAGGCCAAATGCTAGATGACTGACCCTTCTTTTGAACAGAGGAGTGAGCTTTCAACAGAACAGTCAGTAGTTCCTATTTTCGCATTTTTTATTTACTTTGGAATTTCTTCGTTTTACTTCGATGTTATTGAGATAATCATGCAAAATAAAGTCTAACTTCAGCAAATAAACTTACCTTTTCCTACTAAAGCCGGGCGAGGCATAATTCAGTATTTAGAAGCTGAAAACAACAGAAATTAGTTGAATGGGCGTATCAGCCATTATCGATCGCGATGGCGTCGGACCACTTGTCAACGTGGACGTAGGACCGCCCACCGTCATGAGAACTCAGCTGTAGTTAATTCGAGCGTGGCTGCTGCCGGACCTTGAAGAAATATTTCCATTTTAAGACAATTGTAACCATGTCACTGTCCAACACAAGACATGAGATAATTCGCTAAAACTGAGGTACTCTTAGCTATCTTGAACCATTTTGGTCATGTTCTAGGGAGCACGCGTCTGCCGCGTTTCAGGAATGTGGTGTGTACCTAACAGCACTATGGATCCATAACTTCACTTCTGCAATCGTATACCGAGAAAGCCTATGAGTTATGATTCAATGTCTCACCTACACACACTCCTTATCCCTGAGACGGAGTAGGCGTGGCTTTTAAGCATGGCGTAGGACAGGTTTCTCACAGGAATACTTCAATTTGACACAACTGGGATCTTGTTCAGTGTTAGATGTAGGCGATTACGACTGCTCCAAAATGATAATA